TGGTTCCCAAAGGAAGCCATATCTCCCAAAGGCAATTTTACAGACAAATCTAAAAGTAACCAACGAATCAAGATCGATATCTGTCTTTAATTAAGCTTATCAAATATCTTCGAGCACCACTACACTATTTCCGTTCTGCCTCTTCGTCTCGGAAAGACAATAATATCAAAATTAAAGGAGCTGTGGAAAACTTATTAATTAACTTATCTTTCTTTGCTAACATTTAAAAAAAATGCATAATTACGTTTAATGCGAAGTGTTTACTTTGCTTTCATTATATAAGAAGAGCCTCGCTAACGTTTATAATTTCTAAATGGCAATAATAGGTACAGTTAACCTACAAGAAATTAGAATATTTACCTGTGTATATACATTAAACTATTCTAATTTGTTGTAGGGTAACTATTATTGCCATTTATGCCCTTATATATATATAGAAGGGGATGCAAAAGTAGGTATACATTCAGTGTATTGTCTCCAGACTGAGTACAGAGCGTGCGTTAGTATAAAATATACAGAAATGCCTGCAACGTATAAGTTATTGAATTTTGTGAAGATACAAAAATCTTCAATAATCCGGCACCACGCCGATCGCACAGGTGCCGGATTAGCAAACTTCTATTGTAACAAAAAAATACATAGAGGTACACAAAAAATGTTCTCCCATGTTTTTTTTACTCAATTATATCGTGGCGTAAACAATCCTTAATATTTTATTACTATAATATCTAAATAACGTAAATTAATTTTTATATAATTTACTAGAAGATTATGGAAGCAGACACAGCTATTGACGTAATAAAAGTGATAACGTAGCACTCTGTATTACCGTAATCAATCAATATAGAGAATTCGAAGGAAGGAAGGCTATAAAAAGAAAAGATGTCTGTATCTCATATCTTTGTTTTTCTTTATTCTTTCCTATTTTTCTTTATCTTCTCGCTTATTTCTTTTATTTATTCCTTTTCTGAGATTTTATTCTTAACAAAATAGCTTCAAGTTTTATATGAAATTTGTTATTTCAATCGCCAAATTTTAGCATTTTTTCAAATATTTTTTCCAAAATTTGCAATATTTTCTTTGTATTAAAGATAATAATAAATAAACTTATTTTTCTTATCTTCAGTAGGATTTACTACTATTATATTGCATTTATTTAAGGTTCTACCTGTATAGTCGCGGGTTCGCACCCGATAAGGGCTGTCCACGTGGAATTTTTCGAGTTTTATTCACGTTTCTAACACCTAAATAAAGGCCAGTTTCTCATAAGAAGTCCTCCCGGGAGGTACCCTTCCAAGGGGGTACCTTGGAAGATTCCATTAATCTTACTAAAAGTCTATATTTTATTTGGATTGACGATCATCTGACTAAAATATATCAATTTTTAATGCATTTATAGCTCGATATCGTCACTTAAGTAGGAAAATTAAATCAAATTATCTGTATGTGAAGTAAATGGTTTTCTGAACTTCTTTCCCATAAGCAAATCATTGTAATAGTTGTAGTTATTCAAATCGCTGGTCTAAGCAGATAAAATGAGGTTTAGAGTCATTTATTTAGAAGTTAATAACAGGACTTCCTGAAGGTAAGAACTGATAATTACGTTCGATGTAATGACAAATAGAAAATTAAAGTGATTGAAAGTTTTGATGGAACACGACAATGCAACACAGCCAATTTACCAGAGAGGGTGCCTCCCGGGAGGACTTTCTATGATAAACTGGCCCCTATTTAGGTGTAGACACTTAAAGAAAACCCGAAAAACATGTGACCAGTCGATAAGTAAGGCGTGAACCCGCAACAAAGTGCCAGTGTTCGGTGATATTATCCACTCTGCTGCTGTTGGCATATTGTTTATTATTAGAAAGTATCGTACCAATTGGATTCACAATAGAGTTCTGCGTGATATTAACAAATGCGTTCAAATACATTTATTAAAACTGACTTTAGATTATTTTCATGGAAATTTCTCTGTTCGCTTTATTGTATTTGCGGTCCCAAAAAATACTCAAAATTTTGAGTATTTGTAGAGTCAGTGGATAAATTACAGGATCGGCGTGTTGTGTGTATTGCGGATCAACATATAGTAATATATGAAAAAATCTCATCTTACAGAACAAAAGTGCCGAGATAGATTGGTTGAAGAGTACCTTCGGGCGAATATTATCAGCTTATAAAAGTAGTCAGCTCCTCCATCTAATTGTGTCGAGCTTAATTAGAATGCTGGAGGGTAATTTATTATTAATCTGGATTTTTTTTCATAAAATATATATAAAAGGTTAATAATATTTTGACGGAAAAGTGTCAAAGTGTTTCTGTAAACAGAATGTAACATTGGGCTGTCAGATAAACTATAAAAATGAATCAATTCAAAATTATTTTTATATTATTTTATAATTTATCATTGTTTTTAATATAAAATTTATTTAAATAATATTTTAATGCCCGAATATACGAAAATAGCTTAAGTCAAGCCATTTACATTATATAAGCATCAATTTCTAGACTTTCTTCTATTAATTCTAATAATTTTTCTAGTAACTGTTGTACTTACACGAAACAAACTTAAAGATGCGAAAAACGTGCTTTAAACTTTTTATTAGAGAGGTCGAGACCGACGTTTTCAACGCCGCAATCTCTCTATTATGTTACGATTTAAACGTCTATTTTAATTACGTTTTTGAAAGAAATAAAACGGATTCCTAGAAATACTGGAGGATAACAGGTAATAAGAAAAATGGTTCTTTATAACCATCTCTTATTTTCCAACGGTTCTCTAGAGCCATTCTTCTTATCATCTCTTATTGTAATAGGTTTTATTTTTACAGCAATGTTCTATAACAGCAATTTACGAAATTGTGAAGAAGCTCTTTTCGTAACGTTCATTTCTCCACCAAAGTTCAACATATTCCTTTTATAAGTTTTGGATCGTGTCTACAGCGTGACATAAAAACTGTCGAAACACTCGAAAGTATTTGAATTTATTTTTTACACGATATATCAGGTATACAGGTATACAGGTTGGGGTAATGAATATACAGGTATTCGTTACCCCAAACGGGACGTTTGCAACATTGGATACGAGTCAAAAGGGACAGAAGATAAAATCGAGAATAAAACTTTCGAATTTTTTCTCTCCTGTATGAAATTGCTGCTACAGTTTTTTAGTTATTTTGTAATAAAAATGTCGAAAATCAATAACAGAAAAATGCAATATATCGATAAATTTTATCGTTTTTAAAAGTCCTGTAAACTATTTTTACGAAGAAATCTAATTAATCATCAATGACACTCGTCTTAAGACTTCATAAAACAAAAAATTACTTTACTTTAACGAAGAATTTATCTAAAAATATTAATAACTACACAATAATACAAAATTTAGTCTTTAAACTTCTTCTTTTTAAACCACAGAAACGCTAGATCCCATAATAGAGTCGACTTTTTTTCATAGACTCCCTTCGTATCTAAGTATGTAAAGTTGCTAAATTTTTTTAAATATATAATTTATATAATAGTAAAACCTGAAGGTTATTGTTATATTAAAAATTTCAGTGAGAATTTATAACTAAAAATTGGTGGTGGTCCGAAAACTTTGGGAAATACAGATGTAGGAGACAAGCGGCAGCTAAGCTTGTTTGCTTGCCACTTATTTATATTAGACAGACCCATACCATACTATATCCACTTCGTGTAAGGAATATTAGGGTATTTTCATACGAAATTACAATTTAAAGTGAAATTTAAACTTAGTATATTAAAAATTCATGAGATTCTTTCTGTCTTCATCATCTGAATAATGAGTTTTTTTCCTCTTTATCTTAAAGAATAAGTTTCCTATAGCCTATATATTTACATGCAGATTACTTGGGAGATTGAATTGATTCACATAAGAATTTTTTTTAATGCTTTCTGGATATTTATATTCTTTCGTGTTAATGAACTGTTGAGTATTTTCGTAAGTTCGAAACTTAATAATTCGAATTTTATGGAAGATTTTAGGAGATTTTATCGTGTAAATGTAAAAATTGAAGACGTACGTTATGGTCTATGATCAGATATTTTAACAAGATTACTTTGGATATTGATAAGTTAAAATAACTTTTAAAAAATCAATAAATGTATTTTTAGTAATGAAATGATGTAAAAAATTCAAAATTTTAACATAAAAATTTGAGATTTTTCATGTTTTAAATATCTTTTTGAAATTAAATTAATGTACAGTTTTTAATTATAAGTTGGAAAAGTTAATAAGTTAATTATATATATAATTCAGTAATCTGAAGTAGAGACGGTTCGGTTATCCAGGACTGAATTAAAGGGAGACAGCAATAGGGCAGTTTACCACAGAAGACTTACAGGAAACCACCCCTTGATAGATTGCTCTTGTGTTGAGTTGCGCACGAGCAACCTATTAAGGGGTGGTTTCCTGCCAGTCTTCTACGATAAACTAGCCTAATTTAAGTTGTTAGACACGCGAAAAAAGCTCAAAAACGCTGGCGTTGTCCAGGCGCAAACCTATGACAAACTGCCATTGTTCTGCGGTGTTATGTATTAAGCTACTTGTTAGAGCAACTCGTAAATTTTTCAATGGGTGGTCTGTCCGTATATATTTGGTCTTTCCCCTCCATTTGGTTGCCTCTATTATGGGCCTTGGCTATAATTAAAAATGCTTAGCGCCCATAGAGAGAAAAGCTCCACAAATAAAAATGATCAATAAGTTATCAAACAAATCACATAAATTAACTAAAAAACATCCTTTAAAGTCTCTGTTATATACAATACAGTGTATAAGCCCTATAAGCCCTACTTAGTGAAACCTTGATATAGCGCACTCTTAAATAGCGTCATTCTCGCAAAATGCCCAACAAATTATGGCTGTGAATCGAAGTCAGTCTGGCTCTTTATTTTTAAATAATATTTACAATATTGAAATATAATATAAAAATATTATCTATAAATTCATTGTTTAAAATTTTTGTAATAATTTTTTCTTCCAGGAAATCGGAGGAACTTTGTGTTTTGTGGAATATTATACATAGAGATTTTGGCTAATAATGTAAGATTTTTCTTAATTTTAATTAATTTTTTTAGTAATATGTATGGTAAATATATGCAGAATTAAGAAAATTTACTTGAAACTGAAAATCTTATAATACCGGTAGATCCCCCTATAACACTGTTGTTAATTCCGTGTTATATGAATTCCATGTTGTACGAGTCACTTAGATTTTACAAATACGTGCGCCGTTCACAGCCGGCACACGTATTTGTAAAAAATAAATGACTCGTACAACATGGAATTCATATAATACGGAATTATCAACAGTGTTATAGGGGGGTCTACCGTATTTCCCAGAATAAAAATGGAGCCGATGACACGGAGTCATATGATGTCGTGTGGCATTTTTGTTTTCTTAACCTCAAATTTCAGGAAAAATGTCGGGAATTTCAAAGGAATTATAACGGTTTATATTGGCTCCATTCTTATTCTGGGGTAGGTTATAATTGTGATAATTTAAATTTTTATAATTAATTAACAAAAAATATTAAAATGTGTGTAAATTTTCTTTTTAAATTTCAGAATAAGAAAATTATTACATTATTATTATTTATATGAAGAAAATAATGAAAAAAGAGAAAACGAGTGAAAATTCATTATTAGAAACAAACAATTTTCTATTTATTTAGTGCCATGCAAAGAGTAAAACTGATCGTTCTCGGAGCGGCTGCTGTTGGGAAAACATCCATCATTAATCAATTTGTATGGAACGAATATACAGAAGACTATTCTCCAACAGAGATGAAGCAAACATTCTATCCTACAGTATACATAAACGAGCATTTATACGAATTAATGATCATAGATCTACCCGTCATCTCCTACTTTCCATCAAATACATATTACGAATGGAGTGAATTCCAGTCGTGGGGATTGAGAAGCGCTTCGGCTTATGTTTTAGTTTTTGATCTAAACGTTCCCGAAACGTTTCAGTACGTTAAATTTATACGCGATCAAATATTCGATAGCCGAAATATGCATAATATTCCAGTTTTTGTAGTGGGCAATAAGCACGATCTGTGCGAAACCCGCGATAGAAGAGACATTGCCACTTTGGTGAAGAAGCACTGGAAGTGTGGTTACGTCGAATGTTCTGCAAAATATAATTGGCATATTGTACTTTTATTTAAAGAAGTAATGAGAATTCTCGATAATTTGGATTCGACATACAAACCTTCGAGTGGTGCCAGCCGGTTTGATGGCCTTCAAGGTTCTCTTCATAACAACAAGTGCATCATCTTGTGATGTTGGATTGTTCGATACCTGTTCCGCTCAATTATAAAATTAAATATGTTCAGAAAAGCCAATATATTATATATTTAGAAGTTTATACTTAATGTTATAGACATCTAGGATGTTAAAAAACATACGTATTTTCGTTTACATTACGTAGTTAATGTGCCAAATTACGTTACGCTGATGCATTCGACTTCCAAAAAAAACACAGAAGAAATTGTTTTCCTTTCGACTAATTCTTGCTTCTTCGAGCTACGAGAATTACACGAAAGGTCGAAACAATGCTCTAATTTTGTATAATTAAATATTTCTATCGGCTGTATAATGTTATACTCATTGTTGCAGGATATCAAATTTTTATTTTCTAATTTTAATACTATATATATGTACATATATCTATATATTATATTAATATAATGTTAAAAATGTGCCATTTTTACCATATATTACATTATTTATTTTTATGGTCATGTTATTTTTATGATCGTTATATAAAATTGAACATTTTTTAGGAGTAAATATTAATATTCCTTCAAATATTCCAATTCTACGAAGCTAAGACAATGGTCAGTTTAACATTCTTCGCATATTTTAGACTAATGAAAACACTTGGTATAAATGTTGTTAACATTTCTTTCCACGTATTAAATATAAAATTAAATTATTATTTTGTTATAATTATATAAAAGTATTAGAAATCATTCTAGATTACAAGAAGAAAATCTCAGTTTGATAAGAAAAATGTAATTTAAATCAATTCGATGTACGTTTATCATGTGCCAATGTCAGTAACGATATGATATTCGCTCGATAGATCTTTCAATTTAATGATTTCGAAGAATTAAATTTGGAAAAAAAATTAAATAAATCATTGCGAATCTTTTAATCAAGCAATACAATTAATAAAAGTCAAATCTCGAATCATCTCAGCTCTATTTTTTATAATTTATCGTGCGTGAAAGTACACGCATCGTAAATTACACACCTACAAAATAAGGAATTGAAATTACTAAATTAATTTTAAATAGTAACTAGGTAAATACTTGTTGCTCCGGATATCCGGGTTCGAGTTCCGGTCGCCTCAGAAATTTCCGGATACGTAGTCCGCTGATTCGCCTACAGAGCCTAGTATTTAGGCACTCGTCTTTCACCACCACGTTCAATTTCACTCGCGGGAAGGATTGGATCGGTTTGGATTAACGAGATAAGACAATGTAACACGAGCGATCTGCCTCCCGGGGAGGGAACTCGTCCCTGTAGGTGTTAGACATAAAAAAACACCGTAACACTCAAGCAAAAATCATCGACTAATTACCCCCATCGGTAGTTTTTATCCAATCGGTCACTGGTGGGTCTATCGTAGCGGGAATAACAGGATTATTTAGCCTGGCTCACATTCACGGGGGCCTCGAAACTGTTATAAATTTTCCCTATGGGATGGACGAAAAAGGATCGATACCGGAGTAAGAAAAAACTGGCTCTCAGAAATACATAAAAAAGGTAAGTGACCCAGGGCCTGTGTCGATCTCTGCCGGGTCCCGTTTATCGCTCGATCGTCCCATTTGGGGCCTTGCCAAATCGATAACAATCACGAAAAGGCTTTTGTTTTCTGCTTGCGTGAAGGAAATAATTTCCAAAAAATTAACGCCACACAATATTAATTATAAATCGATTTTATTGTACAAATTTCGTTTAAATAAGTTATTTTCTTTGATCAAATTATAAATTCTACATTTAATTAACATATAACTATCGATTTTAACAAATGTATACGATTAACTTAATTATAAATGAATTGATTTGCATACGAATGGATTCATTCGACGTGGGTAAAAATGAATTTTTCAAAGAGGAAATTAAAGATTTTAATCCGTTTTGATTTTAAAATTAAATTCATTTTATCAAACGAAAGTATTTTTAGTTATTTAAATAAAATGTATTTTATAATATTTGAATTTATTCAATTCCACTCAATTGAAAGTTTTAATATTTAAAAAATACTTTTATCTTATCGTAGTAATATTTTTATTTTCTCTAATCTCTTTTAGATTACTTGCGTGTTTCTTCTTTAATTTCTTATACACTAAATGAATTTTCATACACTAGTCGCCAGCACACAACGAACAATCTCGAGGGTTGGATCGCTCGGAATGGATTGGATTGATGCGATGGACACGGGGTAGATCTGCCAAGGAAGAAGTGCCTCCTGGGAGGACTTTCACCGGGGACTGACCATTATTTAGGTGTTAACGTGTGAAGAAAATCCGAAAAACTCCACCAACTCGCTACCAACTATCAATGTTCAGTGTTTTTATCTACTCGGTCACTAGTGTCTACGTTACAAGGAGGCGGCGTTAGAAACGAATGAAAATGTATTAATACGAACGTAATGACAATGGTTATAATAGCGTAGCGAATGTAGAACAAAAGATACAATTTAAAGAAATCTTTAGTCTGGATACTCGCTTCCATACCATCGGGAATGGAGGCATACCGACACCATACGCTATTCCGCGACAGATTTTCTCATAAATGTCGCAAATGCCTGTCTAGATCTCTCACACTGGTAGGCGGACGAACTGGAGCCCCATTTGGTCCCACAAATAGACAGCAAACCGAGAGATCAAAGAAATGTAGCAATGTGGCCGAGATATCCTCGGAAATCCTATCTGTACGCGGATGAGCTTTATCTGTTAGAAAATGACCGTGTCATCAAAGACAACACGCGAGGACGTAGGATTTCCCGAAGGTATTAACGCCATACCTTCGATCCCCCTCGTATCAAAATGACCGACTGTCATAAGAAATGGCTTGGAGGACTAGCGGGTCAGCGGTGAAAGCGGTGTGCCACTCGACAGTAGACCGAACAGTTGTCCTTCGCACTTTAATACGGTGATCGTCCCGGATTCGTCGCTAAAGAAAATACACCGCTTCTCTGTTACGACACCATTGGAAAAGAAGCAATAAATTTGATAAATTAATTAAAATATTTTATAGTAAATATTAAAATAAAAAAATAATTTTTATATTTAATCAAAAAAGCAATATTTGTTTATTTAAGCAATAAATTGATTTATTAAATTCGAGTAATAAATGCACTCGTGTAATAATTTTCATGATCGATATTATTAAATTCTATTTTTATAAAGAAAGTTTTTTAAATAAATTGAATCGGAAATTTAATTTAATTTTTTTTTTTTTTCTAAATTCTATTTTCTAATCAATATTTTGAAATTTTATCCTTTCGTCTACGGTGAAGGGAAAGCGTAAATAAATTTTAAATCAGTTAATATATTTATAATTAATTAACTTACAGTTAATTTCTACCTTTATTTGATTTTTAGGGTAATTAGATTTTAATTTTTTATTAATTTTTTTCAATAATTATAAGCCGGATGATGTTAATTAAACGGGACGGTTCAATTAATTCTTAATTGTGAATTATTAATAGGAAAATATAGATTATTATAAGGAATATTCAGTTTTTGTGCTAAAACATGACACGCCAAGGTGTTGCCTCCGAGGACACGCGAAGAAAGCCCAGAGAATTCTATTCAGCCAGTCCACTGATCAGGTTCGCGCCACAGTTCGCGTGGGTTTTGAAAATTACAGCCCAATAAAAACCCGTGTCGTCCGTCCTTCCTTAATTTCGAGAACAGACGGTAAGTATAATTATATGAATACTTTAACGTATCAATAATTGAATTGTATTCGTGGAATAAAGCAATGCGACACACGCGATCTGCCAAAGAGAGATGCCTTCTGGGAGAACTTTCTACGGGAATCTAGCCCAAATTTGGATGCCAGATATGTGAAAAAAAATCCGGAGAAATACATTGGCAAATCCGCGACTAATGTATTGTACTGTATTTCTTTTCGTGAGAGTGAACACGACGGGTAAAAACTGTCATCGTTATTACTTGGAAAATCTTTAAAGCCGCGACGTTTCTTTAATGCCGAGACATTGCCTATACAATATGCAGCAAATAAGAAATCATACACATCCGCACGATTGCCGAAAACAGAAAATTTATTCTTTTAAACGCCAACTGTAGTGCCTATTTGAACCGCTATTGTTTGCAGAATGGGAATCGTCAATTTGTACCACCAAATATAACTTCTAGATTGCAACATTTAAATATATGTCGCATTCCCTCTTTTAAGTATGCTAAATTTCATCAAAATAGATCATTCAGTACGCACGATAATAGATAGAAATATCGTTTTGATGTAAGAACACGATAAAACGAAGATCAAAATCTACAATTTCTTGTCTGAATAAAATGTATTCACGTTATAGCAGTCTGTTACGTGACACACATAATAGCTATTTCGGCCATATTTTATAGAAAATAATCAATTTCTTTGGCATTTTCTTAGTAGTGTGGTTTATGTCAGTCAGACATCGCTGTATAGTTCGTACCAGGGCACGCTAATACAAAATGTACGGCAATGTCTGCTTGTTTAGTTAAGTTACGGCAACTCAATACTCGGGCGATCTGCCTGGGGGATGTCTTTTTTAAGGGTAACTGGCCCGTATTCGGGCGTTATAGAGGTGGAGAAAACCCAGAAAACTCCACGTGGCCAGCCCGTCCTGGCGAATTCTCAGTGTTCGGCGAACGGAACCTCTTGGTCACTGATGGGCCGGCGATGTCCATAACGTTGAGATTGCATTTACATCTAAAGTATAGAATTTTGTTAAATACAAAGACGTTCGGTAAATAACATTGATTTCTTAGATGCCTGATAAAAGAATCTCTACTGCACTGTATATTGTAATTGCTTATTATTTTTATTTAAAAAATTAATACGAACGTAATGACAATGGTTATAATAGCGTAGCGAATGTAGAACAAAGATACAATTTAAAGAAATCTTTAGTCTGGATACTCGCTTCCATACCATCGGGAATGGAGGCATACCGACACCATACGCTATTCCGCGACAGATTTTCTCATAAATGTCGCAAATGCCTGTCTAGATCTCTCACACTGGTAGGCGGACGAACT